GTCCACCTCGTGCATGAGCCTGTACAAAGGTGTGAGGTCCATGAGAGCAGAGCCGCCTATCAATCGTAGCCAGCGAACTCACCTGTGGTACACGTAGAACCAATAGTCAAGCGCGACGGTGTAAATTGACAGCTTGAAAGGGATGAGCTTCGAGATGCTGAATGGCTGATCCCTGGTGTTGTAGGCCAAGAACGTCGACAGGACGGGTCTGATGGTCGTCACTAAGAGGAGACTCTGAGCGACTTTGCTTTCGTGTCCATCGGGCACACCGTCCCTTTCGTGTTCGCCGTCCAAGAACCCGTGTTTGGCACCAAGCACTCTCCAAAAGTTGAAGACTCGACTGTTGATAGCCTTGAAAGCGCCTGAATAGAATGCGAAAGCTGCTAGAGGGTGTAGCGCTCTCTTCTTGATCAATTTGAGGATGAGGGCGTGCAGGCCGAAGGTGACAAGCAGCTTTGGCACCAAGAACCTGTGTATTTGCCTTTGAGCAAGTCTCGGCACCGGATCATTGATCTTGTGCACCGGCGCTGTACCTTCGGGAGGAAGGGGCCAAAGGTCAGCTCTCTCGAAGAAGCGTTGGGCGAATGTCCACGTCTTTGGATCCCTTTTCCGCCATTCGCTCTTCAAGGTGGCCGGTTTGCGGGTGTGTCCTGCAACTGGCGGCACGACAACCTGGACAGTCGTGGACATTGTGATCAAGACTTGCGTTGACGCCTGGACGTTACGATGGGAGAGGAAAGAGAGAGAGAGAGAGAGAGAGAGGGAGAGAGACGAGATGAGAAGATTAAGTCTTTTGCGATGCGACAGCACATGCTTATGAAGGGATCGGGGGAAAAGAAGCTCCCAACGCGCTCCTCAGCCGCTGGCGCAACCGCTGCACGAGGACAAGCGAAATCTCGGTCATCTTCACTTGGACAGCAGTTGGACGGACATTTGATTTGACAGCCACTACTGCAGTTCGGAAGCTAACCGATTCTAGTCGATCTACGTGCCCGTCCCCTGCTGAGCTCCGTGCCTCGCAGCAATTCGATGGCTTGTGCAGCACTCAGCTACATAAGATAGCATGTAGTAGGTAGTGGTGCTCGAATGTGGGGAGGCGCATTGCCTGGCGGAACCTTTGCCGCTTGACGTTCGTTCGCGAATCGCGTTTCATTCGTGATCGCGACTCAGCATACGACTATTGACTCATCAGACTTGTCGAGGCTTTTGAACAAACCAGCAGCAGGTGGCTGCAGATGCTGCTGCGCACTCATCACGAATGCTCCTCGACGTGCCTGTAGCTCAGATCTGCTTGGTTAGCTTCCCCGCGTTTGGACGCTGCAGCTCTTGCTGCAGGGAGAGGCACAGAGGCACATGAGCGCACGTGAATGATGCTA